GTGTAGTTGAGGATTTCTACTTTTTGAGGTTAGCATGGCAGCTGTCAATATTTTCAGCAAAAATGATTCGCCTCTTGAACATCGCAGCCAGTCGCCTGTAAAATACCCAGATGCTCACAACCCCTAGGAGTAATGTGGCAGAAATCCAGCTGAGAAGTTTCCCAACTCCATTCATGCAAACTTCTGTAGATTCAGCAACATGTGCAGACCTTGATGAATCAAGTCTGTGTAGTCTATTACTTAAAACAGGAAGATGGCGTGGTGGACTTCCAGGTCGTGTGCCCAGCTCTGTTCTTGTTTTTACTGGGAAATTTCATCTGTAGTAGGGGTCCCCAATTCTGATGTGGATCTGGGCTTTTGGTGTACTTCTGTACAGTGCTGCATTAATACTCTTAAATCTCCCTTTTGTTCTTAGATAACTGATTGTTACCCTTTGTAGAGAGTACTTTGGGAAACCTGCTTATGCTTGTAAGAGAATGTAGCTCATTAAAAACTCTGCTTCTCTCTCTCTCCCTTTTCAAAGGGGTCTTGCACCTCAGAATAAACCAGAGCTGCAAAAGGTGATGGAGAAGAGAAAACGAGATCAAGTGATTAAGCAGCAGAAGGAAGAGGAAGCACAAAAGAAGAAATCAGACCTGGAAATAGAGCTACTGAAACGACAGCAGAAGCTGGAGCAGGTGAGCTGGGAAATGGTGCTAGGAGGACTAGAACTTGGTGAAGAAACTCACTGCTTGAAAGAAGAATAGGCTGGATTTGCTAGGGTAGTTGGAAGTACCTCCTGTGCGGGTATTTACACGTTGTCTCTGAACCCCTTACAATTCTGAATGGACCACATTCTTTCAGCATCGTCATGAGATACAAAAGTGTTATCTTCATTTAACAGGTTAGTGAATTGAGGTACGTAGCAGATAAAGGCCATATCTGCACTAGGAGTGTTTTGCTGGTGTAAATCTTTGGGCAAAACCCTTGTAGTGCAGACACAGCTGCAGTCACAGAGTTCTTTTGGTGCTATAGGTTAGGCTGGTTCAGAAAATGAAATACTAGTGTGCGCAGTCTTGTAATGGCAGCTGTATTAAGAGCTTAGCATCTAAGCAAAGTCACGTTTCTAAGCAGCACCGCTGTGCCAGCAAGAATTAGCAAGCTAGTTGGGCTACCATAGCTGAGGATGGAACTGAACCCAGATTTCTGAATCTTGGTCTGTGGCTCTACCCTCTTCACATCTTTCTTCACTCTCTATTAAACAACTGTTGAAGCTAGTTGTTGTTGTGTGGTACATCCTAAAACGGCCAGATACAAGTTCATACATCTCAGAGTAAAGTACATAGGTGACATGTACCTGATTGGTTTCTGGGAAACAGTCCCCACATACTTTTCAGTCATAGCAGAGAAGATATTGGACACAAGTCGCAGTGCAACACTGGAGCTAAGAGCACAAATGAAATCTGTGGCTATAGCCCAGAAAATGTCAGGCAGGTGTATTTTCTCTGTACGCAACGTAACTGTGAGCACTGCTGGGATGCGTGCCTAATTCTGGTATCCACACTTCAGAAAGGTTCAGAATATTTCTGTAAGAATAATTCGAGAGCTGGGAAATATGCCCCTAGATTAAGAAACAAAAGCAGTTCAGTCTAGTGACAGTTTTATGCAGGACGAGGTACCTACACAGAGATGAGACTTCTGATTGTAGGTGATTAGTAAGCCTAGTAGAAAAAGTCTTAATGAGAGCCAGTACTTGGAAGCTGACAATATAGAAGAAATAAGGTACCAGCTATTAATAATAACTAAAAGTAACCTATAATTAACGACTAGAATGGGGGTGGATCCTCCATCCCTCAGTTTCTTTAAGATGGAATATGTTCCAGTAAGAAATGCTATAATCAACTCGATTTAAGGGTTGGGCTTAATGTACCAATCATGAGGAAGGGGGGTTCTTTGTCCTGTGTTATGCGTCTGGTCAGACTGGGTGATTAAAAAGGTCCCTTGTGGATTATAAATCTATCACCAGGCCTCTTTAAAAAAAAGATTTAAAAAAAGGCACTTTACTTGCAGAGCTGGGGAGAAGGTGCTTTCCCCCTATCCGCTGGGGTTAGATGCACTGCTCTGCAGAGGGACAGCTGCCGGCCTCTGTCTCTCTCAAGGTGCCTTGTCTCTGCAGTAGGTGAGCATCTAAAGTGCCCACAGACAGAAGACCCAATCCCTGAAAGCATCACTTCTCATTTTTAAAAAGAATCCATTTGAATAAAAAAAGTTTGAAGAACAATAAGATCCACCTTAATAAAAATCCAGTTAAGTCGGCTAATGTTCTAATTAAATATTAATTAACTAATTACATTTCAAGCCTAAAATTGATATGCATTAATGTGTAAGTGCTATCTTTGCAGAAGGAGGTGGATTCTGTTTATCTGGAGCTCAGCCTTTGCTTGGTAGATCCCTGAAATGCCCTTGGTTGTCTCAAGTTCAGATTCAGAAATGAAAACCCTGTTTGCCAGAGAAAAAAGCCCTTCCCATAACAAATAGTGTTGCAACTCTGGGAGCCCTATAGGCAGGCCTGACACCATGATTCATTGCAGAGCATAGCAATTCTTTATTTTAATAAGATGTGTCCCTTGTCACAGAGCCAGGAGGAGGGAGAGCCTGTTCAGGTAGGTGCTATACAATCCCCGTTAATCAGCAGGGAGACCTTGGTGTATTCAAATGAAACATTGCTTTCAGGATTGCATTTACCATTCATTTTACAAAGATGTGCTTCTTCCTGCTTGTCGGCTCCTAGGTTTGCTGTCAAGTTGTAGGGCTGCCCGTCTTCCAAGCGGTGCATAAAGCAGCCAGCCTTCTTTGCCAGTGCATGGCTGCAGTGAATAACTTCATGTCCTACCATTTTTTTGGATGATTCCACATAGAGGCAGGAACTCTGAGATGTAAAAGTTCAAGGAATGGGTACTAATGGAATCGAGGGCATTCAGGATAGGCAAAAGATACCTCAGGTGAGGCATTTATCTCCATGGATCAGAGCCTGGTCGCCTGTGTTCTCTCAGGGGACAGGATTGGCAATCCAGGAGCAGAGCAGAAGAGGAGAGGTTATCTTTTTTTAACTAAAGATCGCAATGAGAATTTGTTCCCAGACCTCTTTGCCTCATCAGACAAGCAGTTTGCCCCATGTACCAAAAGTGTTCCCAAATCTAACAGAGCTTTGAAGAGAGAAGGGTTTGGAGTGAAATGGAAAACAAATGCAATCCAGTACTCTTGATTGAAGCCTCTTCACCTTTTGTGGGGTGGAGGAGAGGGGAAAGGCAAGGGGAATGTTTAATGTACCCTTTGCCGTACCTGATTCTTTGAAAATAAGCTTCCTTCTGCATGGCTGTAGTTTTGCCCTGCAACGTGGTCATTTCATTTCATTTTATTTCTATATGCAAATCTCTTTTAAGCTGGAACTTGAGAAGCAGAAGATACAGGAGGAGCAGGAAAACGCACCTGAATTTGTAAAAGTCAAAGGCAATTTAAGGAGGACGGTCCAAGAAACAACAGAAGCCCGAGACTCCTAGAGCAAGCACCAGCTAAGACTGCCACCGTTCCAGTGGTGGCTGCAGAGAGAGATTGTCTCAATTTTGCTCACAGTAGAGAGGATAAACAGCATCCAGGTGACATTTGCTGAGGATGAGTTTTGAATTTCTGGAACGTGTATGGATTAAGACTGCAACATAAAATGATTGAATTCGCCAAACACAGACCTGAGACAAATGGAAGCAGCCTGTTGTCAGTTCAGGGTTGTGGACATCTGAAGTGCTTAATTGGAGACTTAAAAGAAACCAGGGGCCCTAGATAAACCCCTTGAATGTTGCACTGCTTGGTTTCTTCTAATCCCAGTTTAATGAAGACATCAAAGTTATATTTTCCTTTTTTTTTTTTTTTTTTTAAAAAAAAAAAAAAAAAAAGGAAAAAAAAAATTTTTTTTTTCCTTTTTTTTTTTTTTTTTTTAAAAAAAAAAAAAAAAAAAGGAAAAAAAAAATTTTTTTTTTCCTTTTTTTTTTTTTTTAAGGAAAAAAAATCCTCTGCTAGTATTTTATGGAGTTTGGCTGTGCAGTAAACTTCTCACTGTCTGTCCCTTTGGTCTGGGTCAAGTCTGGTTGGGAAATGTGGATTCATGCACTTAATTTTAATAGGTGTTTAAATCCAGAGAGGAAGTGGTGTAGTTTAATCATACCTGAGCACCTTGGTTATCTGTTACAACAGAGGAAATTGGTGTGGGGAGATGGGAATGCTTGCTGTTCAGCAGCGCTGAGCAGCTAGAAATGTTTTCAGCCAAATTCCACCTCCGGAGGTGCATCTAGAATTTGGTCCTTGAGAGCACAAAAATCAGATCATTTCCCCACTTGGGCAGGTCAAAATCTGATTTCTTTTTTTTTTTTTTTTTCTTTTCTACCATCAGACACTCCTTTATCTTCCACAGAGGAATTGCACTGGACAGGCCCATGCAGCTCCACCTGTCCACCTTGATTTTTCCCAGCTCTTACAGGAAACCAGCCCTCACTTTAGTTGTTACATTTTGAAATCCTGCCTATTTTGTTGATGTGGGTTTTTTTTCTGTGCTGTGAACCCCAAGATCCAAACTCAGTATTATTGGGTTGGTCAGGACCTGTAATCTCACTTGGTGCGACTGACCACAGGCCCATTGAGCTAGGGGAGTGATTCTACCTGTGAACCCCCATTGACCAGAACAGGGATGGTGACCCAGACCTGCTACAGAGGGAGAGTTAAATTGCTACTGAAATGAGAAACCTTTCTTAATTTTGCTTTATGAAATAGACCTGATTTACCTCATCTTTCCTTTGCCTCGTGAAATGAGGGACTCGCATTACCACTGAGTTTTAGGGCTGGATTCTGTCATCCTTGGGCAAGTAGTCCCTTGAACTGCTCTTGAATAAGGCTCTACTTTGTCTGATGAAGAATGGCAGAATATGACCCTTTGTGTTTATGACTACTGTTTTTTTCCAGGGCATCCTGGAGTTGGGCATGCGGAACAGATGATGGCTCATGTAGGCTCAGGTCCTAAGCTGAGGTAAATGGGTGCACGTGTCTTGAAGGCCTTAGAAACTAGAGAGAAATGCTCATCACACCAGTGACAATCTGGCTGTAGTTTTTGCCATCAGTTGCTAAACAGAAATACATCCTAGCTTGTGCTTACACCTGAGCTCACTGTTTGAGAACACGTTCTGATAATATGAAGCGTGTGTGTTTCTGCATAAGAAGTTTTATTGTATTTTTCTCTTTTGCTTTCCCTTCTGCATCCTAGAAATTAAATACAACTTCAGTTTAGCAGGAGGGGCATAATGCTCCAACTTAACTATGCTTTCTGGGTGCATCTGTCATGTTGTTAAGATCCAGGCATTTCTTATGAGGACACAATCAAATTTAGAAGTAAATTAAATTGTGACAAACATACTACCGTTGACTAGATTTACAGCACAGCTCATGTTCAGAAGACTGAACGCTAAAAGGGCGTACAAAATTGTTCCCTTTATGGTCATACAAGAGGCAAAGGCCAAATATAAGGATCTTCCATGCTGTTTTCCTGCAAAACAAAATTCTAACCACTTCAGCTTCTTCCCTTCTGTACTTCCTTGGGAAGGAAGTCGTCTTCCTGTTGGTCAGCCCATTGTTCAGATGCTCACACTGATCAAGTGACTTGGCTGCTTGTCTTCTGTCAAGACAGCCCTACACT